TTGATGTTTACGAAGACAACAAAGCAAAAACCTTAAGTGAAAAATGAATCTTCGAAATTGAAATTCGGACTGTCTGCTTCAAATTTTTGTGGTGATTAATATCATTATCATCTATATTTTCCTTTCCATCATCATCTCCACCACCACCATTATCATCGTCAGCGTTATCATCAACACCACCATCATCACCATCATCATCACAATCATCATCATCGTATAGTTTACATATAATTAATCGCTATCATTATCTTTGGTTATTGCGTTTATAAGCGTTATTAATGCTAATGACTGTGTCAAGAGCTGGTGGTGATGATGACGACGACGATGATGATAGTGATGATGATAGTGATGATAGTGATGATGATGGTGATGATGATGACGATGATGATAGAGATGGAGTGAAGACGATGTATGTGATAACAATGATGAATGTGAAGATATGGGTGATCGTAGAGATCTTGAAAAAAATTTTCCAAACGATAACATAATGATGATGCTAATAACGAAAATTGCGGCAAAAATGACGATGATAATAAATGATTAAAAAAAGCTTGATGATAACGATGGTGATGATGATATCAAAATAATTGGGCTCTAGAGTGATGAGGAGGATGTTGTTGAAGTAACTGAACTGATGGAGATGAAGAGGATGATGACGTTGACATTGAAATAGCTGGAGGGTTGAAGATGATGACGGTTTCGAAAAAGGTGAATGACCCCGTAAGTTTTTTTGTCAGGGAATTAAATCTTGCACTCAATTGTTGTCGGCACGAGTGTTTGTAAAAGAGGAAAAAGTAAGCGGTCATAATGCGGTGAAAGTTTGGGTGATGGTAAAAATAGTAGTAATAAAGATGGTGATGAAATTAATGATGATGATTGCCACGAAGATGAAGATGACGACAATTGTGGTAATGAATGTGGAGACAATTGAGATGGTGGCAATAATGTAAAACACTTATACGATATTTACAGTAATAACGATGATAACGATGATGATGACAAGATAGTGGTACAGCAAAACAGTGATGATGATGGTGATAATAAAGATGTGATGTGATAATAAAAAAATGATGAAATGTTAACGCTGAAATAATTTTAAATAACCCCAATAACCCCGATAATGAATAAGTATTAGTGATAAAGATAAATACGATGACATAAAAGACGATGGGGTTGATGATGATGTTGATAAGGACATGGATGATGACGTAGATGATGACGGTGGTGGTGACGTAGATGATGATGGACGTGATTATGAAGAAGTTGATGTAGATAATTCAAATTCTGAAAAGTAGTTTCAACATTTTCTGCATTTATCGCCGTAAAAGAGAGAGAGAGAAAGAGAGAGAGAGAGAGAGAGAGAGAGAGAGAGAGTTTTATAAAAAAAATAATCAGAGTAAACAAGTTCTTAATTAGACGAACTCATTCAATAACTCTTTCCTTATAATTTGTCTTTATTACATTTCAAAATAAAAAAGCCTTCTTAAAAGAAACAACGACAACATACGTACTGTCGAAATAATAAAATAAACATAATAATTATAACAACAACAAATAATAAAATCAATGATAATTCTTTTATTATTGATAAGATAGATAAAAATATATTTAATTTTATTAAACTGTAACAACTTTTAATTCACACAAAAAATAATCACACACAAATGAAAAATGGGTCTGCTTTAATAAATTTTTATTTAAATGTGGGTGGTTCGTTACTAGCGAACAAAACCATAGACAACAAAATAATTTAAGAAATGCTTTTTCAAAACCAAAGAAATAATAGTAGGTACAATAAAATGTTGTGAAATGATAATTTGAAAAAATGAAAAAGAAACATGGTTTATGTCATAAAAACTAAACAAAGTACAAAAACAGTTGCCTTGTGATATGCTGATCATCTGAACGGCAGAACAACATTCTCTACGACCTCCTCATATCGTATCTTTCCAGTAGCCTGGACCAATACATCAAGCATATATTATGAACCTTTGAGTTTGTATATGTCTGTGTTTGTTTGTGTGTGTAATTATACATATATATAAATATATATAAATATATATATATATATATATGTGTGTGTGTGTGTGTGTGAGTGTGTGTGTGTGTGAGTGTGTATGTGTGTGTGTGTGTGTGTATGTGTGTGTGTGTTTTTGTGCGTGTGGTGTGTGTATATACGTACATCAATTTTTGTCTATCCTCTTTCTTTTACGAACTCATTCTTAGCTTTCTTACTAAGTCAATAATTTGTCAATTAATAATTATTGCTCTATTCATTCGTTATTTCAAATCATTGTTTTATTTTCCATGCTTACCATGCTTAAACATTCCTACTCCTAATCATTCTTTTCTCTTATCAATCACATAGGTTACTTTCTAAATCCTCAAATAGTCACATAATTAATTATTTTATGTATTCGATTTTTAAATCATTATTTCATTTTCCATCTTCTCATGTTTAAACATTCCTACTCCGTTATCTAATTTTCGTTATCATTCTATACTATTGCATTCAATTAACATCATCGAACTTCCACACCAGAAACAATTTTAGCTGCAAGACATGAGTTAATATGCAGCGAACATGTTAGCTCAGGGGTGGGCAATCTACGGCCCGTGTTAGAAGAGTCGTTTCGATAAGCTCACCAAAGTCATTAAGATTGAGAACCGAAGTGAAAATGTAATATCTCACATAAGATTGTAAATTTATTTGTTAATGTTAGTAATATGTTTCAATTATTAGCATTTTACTTTTCTACATGTGATTCTCTGTTTCATTTTGTCCTTTAAAAACTATCCTTTACTGCAAGCAAGAACCACAGTGATGTCACTGTCACGCATTTATCAGGATTGGTGCAACAGAAAGCTTCCAAACGATCTGGATTTGAATTTTAAAAATAGTAACCATGAATTAAAGTTGCAATGTTCACATTTTTCTTAGTTTATTCAATAAAATTAACGCTAAATCGTCGTCAGGTCGTTTGAAAATATTTGATTGTATTACACAAAACATATAATAAAATGTAGGTACGAATTTGTTAGTCTTACCACATATATTAAAAAGTAGGTATAAATTTGTTAGTCTTATTAATCAATATATAATTAATATTGACATATTAATTGCAGCTCAACAATTGATGATGCAGACAAAAAATAATTTACGATACATTTTTTTTCATAGGTAGGTTAAAAATATAAGCAAATTTCTACAAATAAACCCAAAAAACTGCCTGTTGTTATCGTCTTCATCTCATTCCCCTAGCAAACAACACAAACTGATGTATCATACGTAATCGCGATTAATGGCTGATATGCTGAACATGAAGTACATTTCATGCTGCTATGCATTCCAGCCATTCCTATCGTTACACGATTCATCCGAAATATTAGAACTACAACATCCACGATGTTTCATTCATTACCTATTCCTTCGGAATTTATTAAGCTCTTTTTATTATGTTTATATCATTTATAACGCACTGAAATATAAACGATTAAATATAAAATTAATTCTTCCTCAGTTTTCTTTGTTCTATAATATTGTCTTGTATGTTGAAACAAATCCTGCGACCGTCAAACTCACATTTTTTAAAAGACTATTAATATAAAATTTGTTTTTTAAAATGTGATTTTAGTCAAGTTGTATTTAGGCGGTTTCAAAATTTTCCATGAGATTCCATACCAATTAATGTTAACTTTTCTCATTTTATATCTTTAAAAATTATAAACTATTTCAAATTTATTTTCTTCATTGATCTGTTTCATGTACTGAATTACGTTTTTTTTGAAAGCTTATCGTGTATTCTCACGCTTTACTTGTTAATTTTGATTTGTTTGAAAGTAAGTCACGTGAGACACGAATAAAATGCATCCACCCTACCCAACGTAGCCCTGCTACACTTCATCCTCACATCTTCACAATCTCTGGAAATATTTGGGAGTTGAAAAAATCCAAAAAAAAGTTAACATTCACTCCCAAACATAAATGTATAAACTGCTGAACGTTTGTGGGTTCCGTGGAGTTTATGGTGATGTTTACTGCCAGCACAAGCAGTTAATGTTACAATTCGTTGACATATAAATTTTAGAAATATCTCTAAATGTTCATATTTTTCTTATAACTTATTAAGTATAGTTTACATTAAATCGGTTTGATGATTGCAAATATGAACAAGTATATCGCAAATCAATACTTTTTTCAAAAAATGGCACACTTTTGCAAGGACATATAATAAACGTCAAATTTAATTTTTATCTTACAACTCGTTTTACGCAAAAAAACTGCTCACAAAAGCCTATAAATATATGGGCGCAGAAAAAAATATATAGATGCATTTATATAAACAACTTTAACACATGTATGCACCAATGTGTGTAGTATAGATTTCCAAAGTATGAGCGTGCATTCAAATAATTTTATGTTTGGAAAGCATTGCAAGGAGCATGTGCTCGTGTGTTGAGTAGAAACATGCACGTGAAATTTTTTCAATTGAAACGAACTGTATGTAGTTGCTCCATTTGAAATTTTTCATGTGATGTCATTGCAGATACATTTGGATTGGATTTCATCAAAGATTTTTGTTGTTTCATGGTTATGATATAAAAGATGTTTACTAGTGATTTGATTAAGTTATCTGATCTCTGTTGATGTTTTCAATAATTTTACATAATTTCAAAAAGTTTGTGATTAAATATTTTTTAAATAAAAAAAATTATAAAATTAATATGTATATGAAATGAAAGAATAAATATGACAAACTTTATTTTCCAATTCTGAATTTTATTTTGGTTGTCAAAACGATATCATAAAACGAAATTCGAATATTCAGAAGGAAGTATTTTTAGATTTTTTCTTAATTTAACGTATAATAAAGGTTATTGCCAGTTTTGGCAAGACAGGTTAATTGCTAAAAGGTGTTCAGTCACAAATTATAGAATGTTTGAAAAAATATGAAAAAAAAATAAAATAATAAAAATATAAAACCAAAAGTGAATAAACAATGTCCCACTACGACACGAAGTTCGACCACTACCAATACGCCAAGAGCAAGCTGGTGGACAAGAAATTCAAGAAGACCGTTCAGAGGGTCCTCGTTGCACTTTCATTCAAAACTCCCAAACGACCATCGAGTGCTAGCTCGTCCTCTTCCAACTCTGATCTCATGGCTCACCAGATGTCAGTTGAGATTTTATTTTATTTTGAATTAGTCATGTTGAATTTTCTGTATTTGAGATATATTTTCAAAAAAGTTTGGTTAAGTTATAGAATTTTGTATGCAAAAAAATTTTGTGATGTAATAATAATATTATCTGAAAATCTTGTTTTGGATAATGATTAAAAGAAATGATTTAAAATCACCCATACATTTATTTGATAATTGACAATTTTGAACATTTATCTTCTCTTGTTGTATGCAAGCATCACGGTTGCACATAGTTTTTATTCACCTATTTGTGAATGCATTAGGCATCTTTAAAAATATAAGTTCTCAACAAGCAAATATATTTCTTATCAATCATTTATCACCAATTGTTAACCAACAAACATCAAACATACCAAACAATGACTCCCACAAAACTACAAATCCTCCCAGCCCGCCATCATGCTCCCGTCCAACGACACTGGATTTGAAACCTCCCAGCAACACCCACAAATGTAGTTGGAAGAACAAGAAAAGTGCTCCGTGCACTTGTGAAGTGGCATGCAGAAGCTTCAATACCGACCTCAGCATCGACTACCACGCCGACTACCAAGCCACACATATGCCCACCGATCATGTTGGCCAGGTTTGTCTTTTGTTTCTTGTTGCATCTGTGTGTGTATATATTTTATGTGAAGTGCTTGTCTGTTTATCATATTATTTGTTTATCTTATTTTAGGACTGATAAATTTTTAATTTATTTTTGTGTGAGTCAAATTATTCCGTCCATATATTTTTTCATATGTTTATATTCTTTCTGTATGCTTATCTTGTTAATTGAGATTATGTTTTTCAATAGTTTTTTATATATTCGTTTTTATGTACGTATATTTTGTTAAACACCTTTATGAATGCAATTGTTTGCCTCTGTTGTATGTCTGTGTATGCTTACATCTGTGTATGTATGTAGGTACCTATGTATGTTTATTTATGTATGAGTGTACATTTGTGCATGTGTGTACATGTTTAAATTTATATGTATTTTTTGTATTTCTAAACGATTGTACATCTTTGTTTCACATTTTCTACAATTTTGAGACAGTTTATTTTTTATTTCTTGTCAGTAATCAGTGTCGGCATTAACTTTACGTGTTTAAAATATTATCATCACCATCCTCTTGATCGTCGTTATCATCACCACAGTCATTATCATTATCGTCGTCATCATCACGGTCATTTTGTTTAAAGTGTCAATAAGCAGAATGATTAATTTTGCAATTTTCATCAGAGGACATTTTCATCATATAATCACCAGCCAGTTCCTTCATCATCCGTCTCTTCATGGCACGGCAACATTTTTCATCATCATTTCATCACTTGCTGCAACAATACCTGCTGCTGTCGCTAGCATTGTCTTTCGAAAATCCTTCATTCAATGTGATTCGACATTTTATTTCCATTACTTTCTTTTTTCTTGAAAAATGTATCACTCCATGAGTTTTTATACTTATTAATCATTTGAAGTTGAAAATTATTTTTCAGAAAATAGAGATAGGATTTTAAAATAACAAACACACTATTTGTGTTGAATGTATATTGCTATGTCTTTGTTGACGCAACTCTTAATCTTAAAAAAGTTTAAGACAAATTAGAAACATGTTGCATTTATGCATTTGCTATTTTTTTTTTAAATTGTTGCGTGTTTGTGAATACTTCCAGTTCTGCTGCATTTTGAACGTTGAAACCCTTTCTTGATATCAAATCTTAATGTAGTAGTTGAAGATTATTTGAACGGCACCTATACTCAAATAATGATGTCATTAAACTAAGTGCACGTATCGATTAAAGTTTCAAAGTGCTGTCGATATAATATGTTGCCGATGTTTATTTTTTGTTTTAAACATAAAAGGTTGCGCTGCTCTAAAAAATTTATTTTCCTTATGCACTGTTGAGCTTCAAGTTTATTTAAATGTTTGTACAATATAACAAAATGCTGTTTAAAAAAAATTTCTAAGTGCTAACGAGTATTTGTCACAAAACTTCACAAGACAACCCACACGCCTGTTTGCTGTCACTTTCAATGTCTGCCTCTTCATTTGCACTGCGTTGATTTTTTGTGTAAACAAGTTTGTGAGAACTAGATAGCTAAAAACTCAGGCGTTTTATTTGTGTTAATGATATTTTAATAGCATTTTCAATCTAATAACTTATTTATATGTATGTCAAAGCTTGCAAGTCTTTGACATGATAATAATTATGAAAAAAATTAAAGTCTAAATATGGTTATTCAAACAAATTCAAAGCTTCGGTTAAAAAAAATATACATACCAAGTAAATAATTCATTCCAAACTTACTGCACATTGTATATTCTTTTCATATGCAATGCATTCTAAACTTTTTCGTTCATCCTAAATATTAAAATTCTTCTCATGATGTAGGCTAGTTGTTCGATTTTGAAGGTTTTTTCAAGAGAGATTGATGTCAAAACGTTGTTTTTGAGTTGAGTTGGATATTAACAAAGTAGAGGTATGTTCTTTGTTCGTCTTTTTTTATATCATTCTTTAATGGTTAGAACAAGAAGTTTAATTTTTTTCAAATATGATTTGTAAAATACTGTTGTTGAATTTATGGTTGAAGTGATGATGCAAAAATTGTTGATGGTTATATATTTATATATGTGGCTATGGTGAATTCGATTAAATGGAAATGAAACTAAAATAGTAATTCAAGATGTAAAAGTGGTTATAAAGGTATAAAGTTAATTTTAATGAGTATATCTGTTCAAAAATATAATCAATGATGGTATAATAAAAATGAGTAACAGAGAGTCAATGAGATGATACAACTATTGAGTTGTAGATTGTAATCATAGATTGATTACAAAAAATTGTAAGAATAAAAGCAGTTATTGATGAGTATCTAATGATACACGTTAATAAAATGTTTTCAGGGCTATATAATTGTTCTTAACGAGTCGATAGATATATTAACCAGAGGAAAACTATTTCCTTTCTCTCTATATGCATTAATGATTTTGCTAATACACACATACACATACATTCACGCAAACACACACCAACATACACACACGCACACACATACACAAACATATATAAACACGGATTAATAAATTTTTCTATGAATATAGCGAAAACCAATTTTTGTAGGCTGGTAAACATTGATAAATTTTTATGGTTTCAAATGATTTTAAGCAAACTGATTTACATGCAACGATAAGAGTACAAGCAACCATTTAAAAAATGGTTGACTCTGTACGCAGAATATAAGATGATACACACACACACACACACACACACACACACACACACACACACAAAGCAATCAGATAGACGGTTGTACGGTACGTGTTTAAGTGGTTTGATCGCGAAACTAGAAAGAAATTATCAATCTTTGAAGACCCATTCTTCTTTTTGATTGAGTTCGGTTATAAATTATAATGTTGTTGCCATTACAAGAACATCCTGATTGTACGATTTTTTGTGTTTCTTTGTTTTTGAACTTAAACTACAATTCTAAAGTTCTTTTGTGATCTTAAGACGAATATTTTGCTCATAGGACATGTAACACGTGGCTGGTGATAATGATGATGGGATATTTTTATTCGTGCTTATCAAAAAACAATTCAATGAAAAATTACTTTACCGAAATCGAAATATCATTAACCGCATTCCCAAACAGTAGTCGTCATTTTGTTCTGACGTCATCAATCAAAATTAACGTGGCTCTGACGTGGCGTTGTTAACGCCATCAGGTGACACACAGCACATTGGAATCTATTAAGATGATATAATTTGTTCAATTTTTCATCATCGTCGTTATCATAATTATCATTTACTTATTGTCATAATCATCATTATTATCCAATAACTTCCAACATCATCAAAGGAGTTTCACCATCTAAATGTTGAAGTTGTAAATAAAAAAAATATAGAAAACCAAAATGCTGGAAAGTATATTCAATTTTATTTAAATTCAATTCAGAAACATGTTTATTCTGAACAAACATTTTCAGAAAACTCGACTTTTTCTTCTGTTGGGCCACTCAATCTAAAAATATTTCAACCATCATAATTGCATCAACAGTTGTTTTATCATCATCATCATTATAGTCATATAACATACACTTTTATATACATTCTCCATCATCTTCATTCATCATAACCCAACCATCAAAACATCGAAGGTCAACAGAGGAGCCCAAGCGATTGTCAATTTCTTTTCATTAGCCGGGAAGTGTAAGCAGTGCACTGCCAACATTGTATCAGCATTCCCGCCAACATCGACCTTTCACTGGCATCCGTTACCTGACCGGAAAATGAAATTGATCGTTCTTTTTTACTCCCGTGCACTTTGTTTAAAAATTTGAAACACGTGACTCGCACGCGATAGGAGCACTGAGGAACCCTGCTGCAGTTCAAACGTTTCATCTTCGCAACGTTCGAAAGTTTTGAAGTCAGTTTTACGTGCTGTACGTAATTTAGTTGTGTGGGATGGCTGGATGAAGTTGTGCGGGATGGTTGGATGAAGCTGTGATGGATTGCTGGATGTGTGAATCAAAGTGGACTTTTCTCAGCGCACATGTTACTTGAATTGCAATTTTATTTCAAGTCATTACAAAAAAGCTTACTTTACCTTTAAAAAATTCGGCGAGTTAATTTGAATAGATGACTTTGCATAAACATAATTTCCATACTATATGCAATCAATTTAATTTACAACACACTTTCAATTGCTTTTATAATTAAATATTATATTTTTATTAGAACTATCATTGTCAACTCTGTGAAATTAAATAACTTTTGTGAGTGCACACAAAACTGACCATCTGTTTGGCCACCGTTTTAAACGAGGTCATTGTGCATCCGCCTTTTAACAACTGCCCATCATCATGCGTTGCTTTCATCGTACGTGCCTCTTTGCCAGTTGAAGTTTTTCAATTATTGCCTGAAACGACTCTACTTAGAAATATTGAATTGACATTTGAGTCAACATTATAAAAACATAACATCACTTGACATTAATGTTGACAAAAGAGGGTGCTGGACAATAAGCTATCATCCTCTGTTATCATTTTTAAGGTGATTAATCAATCATCTTTGACATCTTTCTTGTCATCTCTTTCAAAAAATGTCAAAATGTTGTCCTTCATTTCAATCCCGTAAAATTCAAACGTGTCATTCTTTTTTTTATCATCATAATCGTCACCATAATCGTCATCATCATACTTACAATCAAACATTATCATCATTAAGTAATCTAACTTTCAGAATTTTTTCCATTTAACGCTTCATAAATCTTATTAGTTTTTAAAAATTATTATTTATATTTGCAAAAGTTTTTTGATACTAACTCATTTAGAATTATTATTTTATTATCACCAAGAAGTTTTAAACACGAACTCCACAACGTGACAACACGGCAAATCTTCACTTCAAAACTCGTGACGTCTAAACTTCTAACGCACCGTTTCTAATTTTTTGAAGTTTCAAATTGCGCAGATGCTTTGAGTGGCTCGGAAATGAGATTGAGAAGTCGCCTCACTCTCTCTCTCTCCCTCTCACTCTCTCACCCACTTTTTCTTTTTTTTCGCTGTTTTTCTCTTCACTTTATTCTTTTTTCATTTTTTGTCTTTTTTTCTTCTCATTTTTTCTCAATTTTGTTCTAGTTCTCATTCTTTCTTTCTTTCATTCTTTCTTTTCTTTCTCTTTTTTCTCTGTCAACTTCCCAAACAAAAACATCTCAAAATGTTATTAAACATATTTTCGAACAGTGTAATTGTTCAGCAGCTTCAACTTCAGAAACTTTCCTCATTATTTCGTTCTCAGAAAATTATTTCTCCTACAAAAGTATGTCAAATTTTTATTTAAATTTTTTCTTCAATCAGTACTATATTATTGAGTACTTTTAGTATCGATAACAAGGCAGAATTTTTATTGACATCAGAAAGTGATTTCTGCCCAATTAAGTTACACCGAACCTACTACTACTACTACAATTAAATAAAGTATCGTCGTTGAAACAGTCAATTCAATATTTTATATTTTTAACAGATGAATATCTAAGTTGTAAATAGATAAAATTTTGAGGCCAATCTTTATACTAAAAATAATTTTGTGACATTATGCAAGGAAAATCATTTTATGTAATAATATTAGTCATAACCACAATACTGCACTAGCCAGACAAACAACAGGCATGTAGTATCATGCAACCAAACAAACAACAACATCATGAAGATTTTTTTGTTTTGCATTGCATAAGAAAAACGTACCAGCACGTGGTGCAGTCACAAGGAACTTATTACTAATAATTAGTTTCTGGATCTTAATTTGCTTCAACATTTCTTAGTTTAATTTTACTTCAGATTAAAAAATTCTTAAAAATTTTGTTTTTTCGTCTATCAAATTATGAATTTGGATAAAAAATTAAATTGTTTTTTAACATGATAAATTTTGCTTAGAGACCTAAAACGTTATTTACTTATTCAGTTTACTTTTCATACAATACTTTAAACATTTTTTTAATTTTTCAATTCGTGCTTAGATATGCATCTAAAAAATTTACGTATCAAAAATACCTTAAATTGTATAAGCTCTGATTAACATCATTGTTGGCATCGTACGGAAAAACGTCAATCATGTAAACCAATGCAGGCAGAGGCAGAACCATGATGCTAATGCATTAGTCGCCTGGCATATATTTATTTATTTATTTAATTTTTTGTAAATTAATTTATTAATTTACTTATTGTTGATATTTCAATTACAACAACAACTGCATATTTGAATTGCTGTTAAAATGTCCAAACAGTAAAAGATATAGCCACAAAATAGAAGATAAGTAGCTTGAATATTTTTCCCGCCCACCAACCGTCAGACGATTTTAACAACAGCATCATCAACAATAACAGCAAATAATAATTACCCATGCAACAGCGTTTAAATGCATCTTTTAAAAATGGTTTTTGATAAAAATTGAAATATACCATTATAGGAGTTTGAAAAAAATTTAATTAGATGCTATAAGGCTCTTAAAAGCCTGTTTGGACGAACAATATTTACTCAAATCAAACTTCCAAACTTTAGGAGATTAAAAAAAGTAAACAAAACCATTATAATAAGGTAATATTTACTCTTTACAACAGTTCAAATATTATCATCACAATTGTTGTAGTGTTTAATGATAATGTTTAATAGCGCTTCAGTATTTAGAGCTGGTACACGCAAGTTAATAAAAATTCGCGTCACACACCTTTATAATGTCTACATTACATTTTCAGAACTGCAAAACTTCTACACTGACTGTCATTATTTTTTTTTTTCATCACGACGCCAATCAACATCATGTTCATTTAATCAACTCCTTACTCATCACATTCCTCTCCATCGTCAACAGTGAAACTTACAAAAAGTAATATTCCCAATAAATATTGATGTACAAGCAGCAAGTACATCATCACATGGATCACCCACCATTCAATACTTCCATCCTCATCTCACCATTATTATCATCATCGAAACGTCATCACCATCATCAAAAAAAAAATCATCATCATCATTACTAAGAATCACATCATCATCATCAATTATGAAGGTTATTCGTTTGCTTATTAACTCAGCACACATTTCAGTGCAGCATGCAAATGTCTTTATTCTGGTATTGTTTGCATGTTCGCCATTATACATCTACACACACACACCCACACACACACACACACACACACACACGCATATGCACACATAAACGCGTACATATACACATACACACACACACATACATACTTATATTCAATCATTTATTTATGAATTGTGAATGTCTGCTTTTTTTGGCAAGTGAGTGTGTATTTGCGCGTGTGTGTGTGAGTGCGTGTATGTATGTTTGTGTGTATTTGTGTATTTTGTATATATGTGTGTATACATACCTGGTATTGAATGTATGGATGTCTGTATGTGTGATGTGTGTGTGTGTGTGTGTGTGTGTGTGTGTGTGTAGGTGTGTGTGTGTGTAGGTGTGTGTGTGAATTTTAAGTAACACTGGTCTAATAAGTCTACAGAGTTTGCAGTGAAATGATTAATTGCTTCAAGCATGAAAATTTTATTAACGATGCCATGTCAAAATGAATTTTTTCAAACTTACATCATAGTCGTTTCCCGATCGGAGGAGAGAAGATAGATGAGAAATGAGAGATGGTGAGAGTATGATGAAAGAGAAGAGAGATACAAAGAGTAAGTGAGTGTCTCAGAATGACGTTGCGTTTGACGAAGTATAATGGAAATTTATTAAAATATATTTTTTCTTTTCTAAACATGTAAAAAGTTCTATAAATCAAAATGAAAAAATTTTTCAAAATGAAAAATTTTAAAAAAGAGGAAAGTGCTTAGGTGGAAAAGATTGTCTGGGTGAGCTGTAGTGAC